TCGCGTTGTTTCTCGTCACCCTTTTTCGAGACATGGGCAAAAGCTGAGGGTCATCGAGAATGCTCACCCCACACCCTAACCATGGGGGTGCATGCTGTCACTGCTTCTCGTGGTGATATCCACACACGGCCAGTAGGACACAACCCCTCCACCAATTCAACTCACCGCTTTCGCTCTCACATAACAATTCCGATCCCACCATCCGCGCAGGGGGGGGGGGGGGGGGGGGNCACCGGACCAGGCTCTCACATCACCAAGCGCGAAGGGCCGTGAGATATTCGGCGAGTCGCATGAAGGGTGCACAGGGGGGAGGAGGTATTCGCAGATCCCCAACTCTCGTATATAGGTGTGCTGGGCGTGTGTGGGGGGGGGGGAGCGCCTCATAACCTTCCTCCCTGCGCACGAGCATGAACACGCTACCTTCCACGGCACACGCACTAAGACCGGCGGAATACAACCTTGAGACCGTTCGTCGCGCTCGCCCTGACGTTCGCAGCGAAGCCCGAAGGGGTAGGAGATGCCCCTACGACCGGCGCGGCAGCAGCAGCAGCAGCAGTGGTAGGAACAGCGGCAGCATCGCGAGGAGCAAGAGTTGAACAAATCGCCGCCTGGCCATTGGTAGCAGCCACACCCGCACCAGAATGGGGGTTCGCCTTTACACCGCCACCAAGAGCGTCACAGCAGCTAGGCGGAACAACGTTGCTCCCAACAACAGCAGCGTCGTTCGCCAACTCGCCGATCCCCGGCTGCCCGGCGTTGTGGCCGCCGCCGACGGCGCCGTTGTTGCTGTCCGTGAGCCGCGCAGCAGAGGCGCCTGCTGCCGCAGTTGCGGGGGTCGCCGCCGGGCTTGTCCCCGCTGCCACGAAACGATTCGTTAAGGTAGGAGAAATTCTACCCAAGGCAGTCGCCGACCACGACGTGAGCGTCGTGGTGACCGCAGAAGCCCAGGGTCCCGGCGTCCTGGGGCTACCGTTCGCGGCCGCTGACGCCGCAGCGGCAGCGGCGGCGGCGGCGCTAGTAGTAGCGGTAGACAGCGGCGGCGTCGAGAACGAGGAAAGGCCCGGCGCCGGTGTTGACAATCCCGCCGCCGCCGCCGCCGCCGCCGCCGCCGCGGAAACGGACGCTCCCCCTTTCGAGGTGTTGACCCCCGACTCGCCGCCGCCGCCACTATTGACCGACCGGAGGTCCTTGGCTGTGCCACCCCCGACCCCGGTACCGTTCGAAAGACCGGCGACTCTTCCACTACTTCTCCGGCCGAATGGAGAAGGCGACGAGGGAGAAGGAGAAGCGGCAACTACTGCTGCCGGCACGCTTCCGTTTGGAACGACAACGTCGCCGGGCGGCGACGGGCCCCGGCCGAGAGGCATCGTGCGGCGGGAGGACAAGGGGTCCGACGGGAAATAGTGGTTGCTGCTGTGGTGGTGAGCACCATTTCGCGCCGTTTTGCGCTGTTGGACGACCGCTCCGCCACGGCCTCTCCTGCCCACTCTCCTGTCCCCAGTCATGCCTGCTTCCTTCGAGACCGCCTCTCCTGGTGATACTGCTTTCACGCTGCCACCCCCGTCGCCCGTGCCTCTGAAGCGAGTAGCGATTGTATCAAGCCCACCGGCGCCGCTGCCGCCAACTCCGCCGCTACCACTGCTGCCGCTGCTGCCGCTCGTCCTTCGTGCCTGACGGAAGCTTGCCGCCGTCTTCCGTGGCCTTCCTGTCGCGTTCACTTCGTTGTAGCCGCTGCTGCTGCTGCTGTCGCTACTGATGCTGCTGCTGCTCTCGTTCCCGCTGTCGATTCCAGCCCTTGCACGCAACGCACACCTAGGAACCATCCCGCCCGTCGCCGCCGCCGCCACCGCCGCCGTTTCCCCGTCGACGTACCCCGCCACTCCTCCAAAACCCTCGCCGTCGGCTGCCGGCCGTTTGCCTTGTCGACGGTCGTCCGACGACCCTGTCCGTTTACGCTTTGCGCTTGCGGCGGCAGCACCACCTTGGACAGGAGCCTTCCCGCAGTCTGCGCTTGCGCTCCCGTTAGCCGCGCCATTTGACGAGACCGCTGAAGTCGAGTCCATGCCCGGTGGGGGCCGGGGGCGGTGAAACGCGCGGATTCTGATTGGCTTGGCGCCCGCCCTCGCCGAGGCCGCCGCAGCCGCCGCAGCCGCAGCTACGCTGGCTTTTCTGGTCGTCAGGGCCCGCTGTCGCTTGGACTGCGCAGTGCAAGAAGGATTGCAACAAAGTCGGCAAGACAAAAAAGGTGAGAGAATAGGGGGAGACAGTGCTACTGTAGTACACCACCGATTGACGACGACAGCAGACAATCC